TCCATAGGCATGGCTGCCCGCAGCTCCCAGTGGCCGCAGTTCACCATTCCCGGCCAATGGGAGCTGCGGGAAGTGGCGCAGGCTGCAGGGACGTGCTGGCCGTCGCTTCCCGCAGCTCCCATTAGCCGGAACGGTGAACTGCGGCCACTGGGAGCTGCGGGTAGCCATTCCTGTGGACGGTCAATGTAAACAAACTGTCTTGCGGCCCACCAGCAGATTGCCCTGACGGGCTGCGTGCGGCCCATGGGCCGCAGGTTGTCCACCACTGGTCTACACAGTCTACACGCGCCAGCTGTAGACTCAGGTTCGTAGGACTCGGGCTACGGGGCTGTTTCATTGTTGTGTAACTTCCAGGCTCAGGCTGGAGCCCAGGCTCTAGGACTCTGAGGGATAGAGGATCCCAGACCCTGGGCTCCAGCCCAAATTGGAAGTCTACATGGCAATGAAACAGCCCCACAGCCCTAGTTCCACGAGCCGAAGTTGGCTAGCACAGGCCAGCTGTGGATTCTTCTTTGCTGTGTAGACATACCCTAAGAAGGAGTTATATCTAACTACCATACATAGCTTATCGTGTCTTATTATTTAACATTAGGTGGCTTTATAATTCTGGACACAGTTATCAGATCGTATTTTAACATTGTATCATATTCATAGTATTTGAGCTGTGTGAAATGTTTGTAATGAAACTCAATATCACATCAAAACTTCTAGGTTTTCTTATAAAGTCAAAAATCATCTCAAGTTTTTCAAATCTTTCAGGCCCAATTTTGTAGCAATTTATCTGGTCCCATATTTTACCAAGATTAAAAAGAAAAAATTACTGTACTCTACTCTCTAATATTGTAAGAATAGATAGACTGTTGGTAAAGCATGGCCAAAGGAGATCTGTGTTTTGTTCCTTAGTTTGCCTCAAACATGCGGTGTGACCTTGAACAAGTCATTTAACCTTCCATGCCTCAGTTTCCCCATCTGAAAAATTGCAGATAACTACTACTTATCTACTTCTCATGGATGATGCAAGTCTAAACCAATGAATGCTTGTAATTTCCGTTGAGATGCCCAGATGGAAATTCAACAGCACTGTAAAGTACTATTGTAACAACAATAATAATAATAATAATAATAAATAAATAAAACTGCTTCACGTCTCTATTTACAAGACATTCAGAAATTGTTTTCATTTATATCAATAGGTCCACCACGCTTCTCAATAAAGTAAATACTGGAAAGGCCAGCTTTTCATTGAGTTACTGCTATCTTATTCAGAGCAAGAAGTACTGATGAAGCAAATAATTTCACATACCTGCCAACATTAAGGCTCTGACACATTCAGTTCGGCCTTGCATTGCAGATTTCATCAGGGCTGTGAATCCAAATACATTCCTCTTCTCAATATCAAGACCAGGAAAATAGTTCAACAAGTAGTTTGTAATGGTTATATGCCCTGTAGAAGGATAAAACAAGGGAGAGAAGAGTTATCACTACAGAAAAATATTAGAGTTAA